GTGTGTGTGTGTGTGTGTGTGCATGTGTGTTTGTACAACGTGGTTTCATTTTGTTTATGAGGTCCTAGACCTTGGAGGACTGGTTGTAAGTCATGGCAGAGGCATGTTCTGTTCTCGGATTTTGAGCAATGAAATGGAATTAGAGTTCAGGAGCACCATTTGTGGTGTGGCCTGGAAGAGTCCTGCCAGTATTGGGGGGCAGGAGGCATTGTCTCGAATAATCGTCGCCTTGAGTACCTGTCCCTGTTTGTTCCGTCAGCTAGAACTGTCTACAAATCAGTCTGAGGCCCAGAAGCTGGTTGGCACATATTCAAGCCTACTATCTTCCCCCACATAGGACATACGGGCATTATAGCTGCATTTGGGCCAACTTACAGTCCAGATGCAGCGATAATGACCGTACGTTCTATTCAGGGGCGAAGACTGTAAGCCACAAACCACATCAAAATAGAAGCTGCAAAAGCCCCAAGCAATCCAACAGCAACAGTTGTTCGTTTGCCACCACATCAAAATAATCTAAATAATTTAATGTTAATTTAATATTAATTTAAATATACAAAATATATAAAAAAATAGTATAACACCATCAGTCAGCTGTGAGGGGGAAAAAAAACACGTTGTGGCTGTTTAGGGATTGACGCTAGGCACACGGCTCCTCAGCCTGTAGTTACAGGTATGTTGGGAGCCTGCTGGCATCTAGCCCATCCATTGAGATTGCCTCTCAGAAATGCTGGTAGCTATAAACCTCCACCGCCATGTCCGCATCCTGTTTTTTTTTTGGCATGTTTGTGCATTTCTGCCTGTTTATAACTCGTCCTTGTGACTCTACTGAAGTTACCCCGAGATAGAGAGAGAGAGAGAGAGAGAGAGAGAGAGAGAGAGAGAGGAAATCCCGGTGTGCTCGCTGCACCACTCTTCCCTTGCTGTCGGGAAGATTCATTCCCATTTGCAAATTCGAATCCCTCTCTCTCTCTCTCTCTCTCCCTCCACGCGGTTCCCCCGCGCTGTTCCCGCTTTGTTTCTTTTTTTTCCTTGTCTGTTTTTTTTTTTTTTTTTAAACTGCGCCTGTGACCGCTGCACAGTTCAGAATTCGCAGAAATAACAGTCCGCTGCAAGATTGGGCCGTGAGCAGTTCGAAACAGCAAAAAAAACAGTGAACTGCGAGTTAGACGGCCTACCGGTTCGATAATGGGCAAAAAGGGAAGGTGGCCTGTGCTAACAGGTACCCGTAGCAGGCCCTCCCGTTTTTTCATTTATTTATTTTCTCCTTTTTGGCGTCTGGCGGGAATGGATTCGGGCTCCAAAACAATCCCACTTTGTCAGTACGTCCCGCCCCATTCTCTCTCTCTCTCTCTCTCTCTCTCTCTCTCTCTCTCTCTGTGCTTCCCACTTTGTCAGTACGTCCCGCCCCATTCTCTCTCTCTCCCTCTCTCTGCTGCTGGGCACACCAAAGCGCGAATGTATCTGGTCCATTCTTTGAGCCAGATACATTCCCAATGTTTTTTTGGAGATGCTGATCTTCTCTGTATCGTTCCAATCCTCTCTCTCTCTCTCTCTCTCTCTCTTCGCCGCCCACTCCCGCTCCCGCTCGCACTCTCGCTGCTGCCCGATCGCCCGTCTCTCTCTCTCTCTCTCTCTCTCTCTCTCTCTCTCTCTCTCTCTCACACACACACACACACACACACACCAACGAAAAAACAAAAGTGGCAGTGTATATTTCCAGTTTCTCGGCCAAGATTCATTCCTATTTTGCTCAGCGGCCTCAGCTTATACATAGAGGTAGCCACTCTCTCTCTCTCCAACCATGACCGCAGCCATGTATCTATAGGCTGAGCAAAATCGCAATGAATCTTGGCAGAGAAACTGGAGATATACACTGCCACTTTCTTTTTTTTTTTGTTTGTGTGTGTGTGTGTGTGTGTGTGAGAGAGAGAGAGAGAGAGAGAGAGAGAGAGAGAGAGAGAGAGAGAGAGAGAGAGAGACAGCAGGCGTAGGTGGGCGATCCGGCAGCAGGGAGAGTGCGAGCGGGAGCGGGAGTGGGCGGCGAAGAGAGAGAGGGAGTGGGCGGCGACGAGAGAGAGAGAGTTAGAGAGAGAGGATTGGAACTATACACAGTTGATCAGCGTGTCCGAAAAAAAACATGCGAATGTATCTGGTGCAAAGAATGGACCAGATACATTCGCACTTTGGTGTGCCCAGCAGCACAGAGAGAGAGAGAGAGAGAGAGAGAGAGAGAGAGAGAGAGAGAGAGAGAGAGAGAGAGAGACAGCAGGCGTAGTAGGCGGGCGATCGGGCAGCAGCGAGAGTGCGAGCGGGAGCAGGAGTGGGCGGCGAAGAGAGAGAGGGAGTGGGCGGCGAAGAGAGAGAGAGAGAGAGAGAGAGAGAGAGAGAGAGAGAGAGAGAGAGAGAGAGAGAGAGAGGATTGGAACTATACAGAGAAGATCAGCATGTCCCCAAAAAAAACATGGGAATGTATCTGGAGCAAAGAATGGACCAGATACATTCGCACTTTGGTGTGCCCAGCAGAGAGAGAGAGGGAGAGAGAGAGAGAGAGAGAGAGAATGGGGCGGGACGTACTGACAAAGTGGGAAGCACAGAGAGAGAGAGAGAGAGAGAGAGAGAGAGAGAGAGAGAGAATGGGGCGGGACGTACTGACAAAGTGGGATTGTTTTGGAGCCCGAATCCATTCCCGCCAGACGCCAAAAAGGAGAAAATAAATAAATGAAAAAACGGGAGGGCCTGCTACGGGTACCTGTTAGCACAGGCCACCTTCCCTTTTTGCCCATTATCGAACCGGTAGGCCGTCTAACTCGCAGTTCACTGTTTTTTTTGCTGTTTCGAACTGCTCACGGCCCAATCTTGCAGCGGACTGTTATTTCTGCGAATTCTGAACTGTGCAGCGGTCACAGGTGCAGTTGTCTCTTTTTTTTTTTCTGTTTTTTTTTTTATAGTCCTTCTTCACTGTCGGTCGTACAGTGGGTCGGTCATTCCCTGCACCGACCCCCTGTGTTAACCGGCGCGTATTTGTTTTCCAAGCAGGGAAACTTACTGGTGGTTTAACAAGCAATTTTTTTTATTATAGCTGCAGTGCCCCTAAAACGGGCTCTGGTTGGGGATCCACGCGGAGACCTCTTGACAAAATCACACTCCCTCCACACCCTACACCTTCTGCCTGTCTACTGTGACCAAACGGGTAACCGAGCGTGCAGGTTAGTCCAAAATCCACCCACAAGAAACAATCCCCAAAGGGGCAGCAGAATCGGACTCCCTGCCCCAGTTATTCTGAGCAGTCCTCCTCCTATACCTTCCGCCTGTCTACTGTGACAAGACAGTAGCCGAGTGTGCAGGTTAGTACTCCTAGTACAACGAAACAACAAACAAAAAAACATGGGTAGAACAGGGGTAGAACAGGGCTAGGATGGGAACAAGAACGAGAAACCCCGCAGCCTTGTGCATGGACACCGGCAGGGCGTTAGATTGACACACGGCTTGACACACACACCCTTGGGCTGACGCATGGTACTATGACAGACACTGCCTGCGCACCACCCAAGGGTAGACCATGGTGTTGTATGATGGTTCTGGGTTCCGCAGGGGTTGCTTGGGGGTGTTGGCCTTGGGTGTTCTGTTGATCTCCCCAGTCTGGCATATCACACATTCGTGCCATTTCTGATAGTCGTTCATACGGTAGAGTCTTTGATTACATGTTACAAGGTCATGGGTTCGGGCTTGGTTCGGACCATGGGGGGGGGTCCTTGTCCAGCTTCCCCTGTTCTTTCCTCGATACACACACATGATGCTGTCTGTACATCTCGATACATAGATTCATAGAGCACACACAGCCTGCGGGCATACACAGCTTGCGAACTACATATCGCCTACGCGCTATATACACACGTTTCCACACATGATGCTGTCTGTACATCTCGAGACAGAGATTCGCAGAGCATACACAGTCTTCAGGTATACATATAGCTTGCGAACTACACATCGGGCTACATACACAAGTTTCCGGGTGCGTACATACGTACCACTATAATATCAGGCTGGGAGGGTCTAGTCACTGGGTGGGGTCTAGTATCTGCAGTAGGTTCAGGTAAGGGGTTCCTACCGACATTCGGATAGAACTGTCTGGTGGCTATATATATATATATATATATATATATAAGGCTTAGACCCTAGGGTAAGGGTAGGGATATAAGTCGCTCAGGCCAGTCCGAGTTCCACCTGGCCTTGGGTACGCTAGGGGAAGTACGGTAAGACTGCTTCACTGGGTGCTACCCTGTCTGAACCTAGGGTCCAGAGTCTCTTGCGGCCTGCCTGTAGTAGATTTTCTGGGCCTCGCGTCCGAAGTTCCCGTTCTACAAGGCTCGTCCGATTCCGTTTCCACCAGGGCTGGGCAACCTATCAGCCGAACTGTCCGGTGGCTATATATAACCCTTAGACCCTAGGGTAAGGGTAGGGATATAAGTCACTAAGGCCAGTCCGAGTTCCGCCTGGCCTTGGGTACGCTAGGGGAAGTACGGTAAGACTGCTTCACTGGGTGCTACCCTGTCTGAACCTAGGGTCCAGAGTCTCTTGGGGCCTGCCTGTAGTGGATTGTCTGGGCCTGGCGTCCGAAGTTCCCCTTCTACAAGGCTCGTCCGATTCCGCTTCCACCAGGGCTGGCTGGGCAGCCTATCAGCCCTGGTGCCCATCACTGCTGTTCGGTCCAATTTGCCTGCCCGTGGGTAGGGCAATGGTCCTGAGTGGTGGTCACACTGAGGTAGGATAGTAGGATAGGGGGTGCGCTACCTGCAGGAGTATTGACGTGAGGATGGGATGGGAGGTGGTCTCATATTCCAGGACACCCGCGGTCCACAGCTCCAGCTAATCACTGTGCACTCAGTGACTGGCCTCTACAACACCCTGGACTTTATATATACATAAAAAAAAGGGAAAAAAAAAAAGAGAAAAGAACGAGAATATCCAATTCGGCCAACCCCTCTTCCCCCCCCCCCCCCCCTTCCCCCCCCGCCTCGGAAAAAAAGGGGGGAAATAAAATTGGCCCAGGTGAGGGACAGGCATAGCCCCAGGCGAAAGCACTGCTCCTGCTGCAGTGCGGGTCCCATTCGGAACTCTCACTCTGCTGGTGGGGACCACAGACCACGTCGGAGGTGTAATTTGTGTGGGCGAAGGAGCCTGCAGTGTTCTGCGAGCTGTGTGTGTGCGTGCGGAAGGGGTGAGGAGGTCGAGGAGGGAGGTGGAAGTGTGGTGGGCCGGTGGGGGATGACAGGGTGGGTCGGCGTTGGAGCGGGTGGTGGTTTGGCGGTCCGGTGCGAGAGCGCGGCGATGGCGGTGAGATGTGAAAGCGCGGCTATGGCGGCGCTAAGATGTGAAAGCGCGGGAATGGGTGCTCTCAGCGGTGTTGAGAGCGTCAGTTCGACGGTGACTAGACAAGTTGGGGGCCGACGGGATGGGGTGTGGGCATGGAGGAGGTCCGGATATGGTGGAGGCGATGGCGGTGCAGGTGAAGGAGAGAGGGAATGGAGGAGGAGAAGGTTCGGCGTTGGCGGCGGGAAGATGTGGAGTGAGTGCAGGGCGGGGGAGGAGGTGATGAGGGCGTCCACGCGGAGACGGCAAGTTTTGGCGGGAACGATGAAGAGGTCGATGATTAGGTCATCCAGCCTGATGACGTGGGATCGAGCCTCTCATCTGGAGGACAACAATGCGCTAACGAGCTGCAGCAGCTGTGGGGGGCCATCTAGCGCGGCGCGGCGGCTGATGACCTGGAGCGGGCCGCAGAAGTGGATAAGGTTGGTGGCCAGTTTTGGCGGGAAAAAGACTGTTAGGAGGAGAGGGGCGGGAGCTGTCGTCCTCTGCAGCAATGCAGCATCGGGATCTGCGGCAGGGTGGCCTCAAGACGCATCGGGTTCGGGTTTCGGTTCAGGTTCAGGTTCAGCTTCGGCTTCGAGCGGCGGCGATGACAATCAGCAGCAGCAGGAGGAGGAGGAGGAGGTGGTTAATCCCTATGCTGTATTGGGTGTGAATCCGCTGTCAACATTCGATGCGGTGAAGATGAAGTACAAGAAGCTAATTACGGAAGCAGAGAAAAGGGGTGACGTGGCAGCTATGGAGAGAGTGGAGCGCGCATACGACAAAATTATGATGAGCCAGCTCAGCAAGAGGAAGATGGGAGTGTCCTTCGGCTCTTTAGAAGTCTCCGACGACGTTAAGTACGCCGATCGTCAGTCTAGGTTCCCCTGGGCCCCCAAATACGCTAAGGCCAAGAAAAGGGATATTGTAATTAATGGGGTCATTGCCGGGTTAATGGTGTTGTGGGCCCTAAATGATCCCAGGGCACTTCAACGCCCTGTGCAGTACATGTCCCTCGTCTTCATGTTTAGGGTTCATCAGAAGCTAAGGGAATTTTATCCGCCTCCAGAGGACAGAGAGAAGAAGAGGGCGGTGGACATGAAACGTCTGGTTCGTACCCTGGGTTTGGTCCTTGGAACCCTAATAGTATCCGTATTACTGGTCTGGTTCATCCCTCTCTCTCTCAGCGATCTGTCCCTCTTCTACGCGCCATCGTCGGCAGCGCAAGCGCAGGCCAGAGACGCCGCTCTTGTGTCGGGGGGTTTGCTCTTCACCATTGCATCATACTACCGCTGAGAATATGATGATGTCATGGTAAAAAAAAAAAAGGAAAAAAAAGAGAAAAAAGAAAAAGAATGTGATGTCATCTGATGGGATCTGATCTTTTGTCTTGGCTCTATTTTCGGTTTTTCGTGAGGATTTGTTCTCTCTCTCTCTCTCCCTCTGTGTGGTTCCCTTTCTTTTTCCCTGTGCTGTTCTTCGAATTTCTTCCTTTCTGTGCAGGAATTTCAAGAGATTTTTTTTTGATTTTTTTTTTGTGCATAGGTTGTACCTTCCATTACCAAAGGGAAAAGAAAAAGTATTGATGGGTTGGTGAAAAAAAATAAAAAAATTGTATAGATTGGTTGGTGGAAGTAGTAAATAAATTGTTCAGAGTGGTTGGTGTTTATCTATTCAGTGGCTACTGGTACTAAGCAGTAATTGCGTTTTGCCCTTTTGTGTGATGGCGGTGAGGGGAGGGGAGGGGAGGGGCACATCTAGATGTGTATAAGAGACAGGTGTGTGTGTGTGTGTGTGTGCATGTGTGTTTGTACAACGTGGTTTCATTTTGTTTATGAGGTCCTAGACCTTGGAGGACTGGTTGTAAGTCATGGCAGAGGCATGTTCTGTTCTCGGATTTTGAGCAATGAAATGGAATTAGAGTTCAGGAGCACCATTTGTGGTGTGGCCTGGAAGAGTCCTGCCAGTATTGGGGGGCAGGAGGCATTGTCTCGAATAATCGTCGCCTTGAGTACCTGTCCCTGTTTGTTCCGTCAGCTAGAACTGTCTACAAATCAGTCTGAGGCCCAGAAGCTGGTTGGCACATATTCAAGCCTACTATCTTCCCCCACATAGGACATACGGGCATTATAGCTGCATTTGGGCCAACTTACAGTCCAGATGCAGCGATAATGACCGTACGTTCTATTCAGGGGCGAAGACTGTAAGCCACAAACCACATCAAAATAGAAGCTGCAAAAGCCCCAAGCAATCCAACAGCAACAGTTGTTCGTTTGCCACCACATCAAAATAATCTAAATAATTTAATGTTAATTTAATATTAATTTAAATATACAAAATATATAAAAAAATAGTATAACACCATCAGTCAGCTGTGAGGGGGAAAAAAAACACGTTGTGGCTGTTTAGGGATTGACGCTAGGCACACGGCTCCTCAGCCTGTAGTTACAGGTATGTTGGGAGCCTGCTGGCATCTAGCCCATCCATTGAGATTGCCTCTCAGAAATGCTGGTAGCTATAAACCTCCACCGCCATGTCCGCATCCTGTTTTTTTTTTGGCATGTTTGTGCATTTCTGCCTGTTTATAACTCGTCCTTGTGACTCTACTGAAGTTACCCCGAGATAGAGAGAGAGAGAGAGAGAGAGAGAGAGAGAGAGAGAGAGGAAATCCCGGTGTGCTCGCTGCACCACTCTTCCCTTGCTGTCGGGAAGATTCATTCCCATTTGCAAATTCGAATCCCTCTCTCTCTCTCTCTCTCTCCCTCCACGCGGTTCCCCCGCGCTGTTCCCGCTTTGTTTCTTTTTTTTCCTTGTCTGTTTTTTTTTTTTTTTTTAAACTGCGCCTGTGACCGCTGCACAGTTCAGAATTCGCAGAAATAACAGTCCGCTGCAAGATTGGGCCGTGAGCAGTTCGAAACAGCAAAAAAAACAGTGAACTGCGAGTTAGACGGCCTACCGGTTCGATAATGGGCAAAAAGGGAAGGTGGCCTGTGCTAACAGGTACCCGTAGCAGGCCCTCCCGTTTTTTCATTTATTTATTTTCTCCTTTTTGGCGTCTGGCGGGAATGGATTCGGGCTCCAAAACAATCCCACTTTGTCAGTACGTCCCGCCCCATTCTCTCTCTCTCTCTCTCTCTCTCTCTCTCTCTCTCTCTCTGTGCTTCCCACTTTGTCAGTACGTCCCGCCCCATTCTCTCTCTCTCCCTCTCTCTGCTGCTGGGCACACCAAAGCGCGAATGTATCTGGTCCATTCTTTGAGCCAGATACATTCCCAATGTTTTTTTGGAGATGCTGATCTTCTCTGTATCGTTCCAATCCTCTCTCTCTCTCTCTCTCTCTCTCTTCGCCGCCCACTCCCGCTCCCGCTCGCACTCTCGCTGCTGCCCGATCGCCCGTCTCTCTCTCTCTCTCTCTCTCTCTCTCTCTCTCTCTCTCTCTCTCACACACACACACACACACACACACCAACGAAAAAACAAAAGTGGCAGTGTATATTTCCAGTTTCTCGGCCAAGATTCATTCCTATTTTGCTCAGCGGCCTCAGCTTATACATAGAGGTAGCCACTCTCTCTCTCTCCAACCATGACCGCAGCCATGTATCTATAGGCTGAGCAAAATCGCAATGAATCTTGGCAGAGAAACTGGAGATATACACTGCCACTTTCTTTTTTTTTTCGTTTGTGTGTGTGTGTGTGTGTGTGTGAGAGAGAGAGAGAGAGAGAGAGAGAGAGAGAGAGAGAGAGAGAGAGAGAGAGANTATATTTCGTCGCGAGCTGATTTTTTTTTTTTTTTTTAAATTCTATGAGATAGAATTATAGGGCAGACAGGGAACGGAACTGGTGCTGGCAGAGGATTGGATTTGACACCTGAATCTATCTGGACGTGTTTGCGGAGAGGTGCAGAAAATGGTGATTGATCTCTTTTCTGCATCTCTGCTGAAAAGACATCTACATTCAGGCGCTTAATCCAATCCTCTTTCCTCTTTGGGCCTACCCCCGGGCGTACGGTCCCTCGCACTGACCGAGTCTTCTCTTTCGGACAGTTGATTGATTGATTGATTCATTCATTCATTCATTCATTCAGTAATTCAGAGTAAATCAGTACTTCAGTAATTCAGTAATTAATTAATCGACTTCCACAAGGAAAGAAAAAGAAAAGAAATGCAGTTAAACTCCCGGTAAATGGGTCTTCAGACTCTTCAGCCCGGGAAGGAAGGGGAAAAGGGAAGTAAGGATGATTTATTAATTTTGAAATTGTGTCATAATGTGAGGGTGGTGTGATATGGCATGCTTTCCGGACCTGATGCATTCGTACGAGTCCCCAGCATTTTCAATGTATTGGGCCGATTATGCGCTCCAGATACAGATACGTACAGACTGTTGTGCAATGTAGAGAGGCCGAATGTGTTTCATAAGGGCTGTCTGCGTTGTCAGAAGAATATGTGAATGTATTGGGCCGATTATTACGAGTGCATTCGTATGAATCCAGCCTAGTATGAGCTCCACATACATATAGAATGTATTGGGCCGATTATGAGCTCCAGATACATATAAGGGGGCTGTCTGCGTTGTCATAAGAATATCTGAACACGGGTGAAAAAAACAATTCAGCAGTGTTTTGGGGCAGTGAGGGGAAAACAAGAAGAATACAAACCTCTGTGGAGGACGACTCTTCTTCTTTCTCTTTTCCTTTACCTTCTCCCTCTTCTTATCTTTCCTGTTCTGCTTCTTTGATTTGGTTGATTTAAGTGATTGATCTGATTTGATCTCTCTCTCTCTCTTTCTCTCTCTCTCTCTCTCTCTTGCCTCTGATGGTATTCTCTCTCTCTCTCTCTCTCTCTCTCTCTCTCTCTTGCCTCTGATGGTATTGTAAGGTGCATCTAGCGAACCAAAAACGCAAAGCAGACGATCTCTAACAGAAACGAGATCGGTGATAGATGATGATGGATGGCGATGATGATGATGGCGATGATGATGATGATGATGATGATGAGTGATGGCGATGGTGATGAAGATGATGGTGATGAAGATGATGATGATGGCTATGGCGATGGCGATGGTGACGATAATGACGATGACGACGATCAACATAATGACGATGGCGATGGCGATGATGATGATCGGGATCGTGACAGGGGAGAGAGCTCTCTAGGCTCGGTGAGTTCTCATCTCGTCGATGGCGATGGCGATAATGATGATTGGGATCGTGACAGGGGAGAGAGCTCTCTAGGCTCGGCGAGCTCTCATCTCGTCGATGGCGATGGCGATAATGATGATCGGGATCGTGTTGCCACTCAATCATCCCTCTCTCTCTCCCTCTGCCTGTTGATGCATGATGCGATGATCGGTGCGTATAGCAGATGTGGAGAGAGAACGACACAGAGAGAGAGAGAGAGAGAGAGAGAGAGAGAGAGAGAGAGAGATGATATGTGCGTATGACGTGGGCAGCTTCCTCTGCGTTACTTTTATTTTTATTTTTGTACTCCATGTGGAAGAACTGTAAGCGCGCTACACAGCTGGAATATTTTTTTGCCCCACGGAGAAAATAAGGCTGCACAATGCCGCCCACCGCCGGAATGTACCGCGTAGTTCCGAAGACAGGGAAACAGGACCACCGGTACTGTAGTGGAACTTGGCCCCGGGTCCGTCACCTTGGCTGCCCGGCCGGGCAAGGGCCACGGAAAAAGTTCCTGCATAAAAAAAAAAAAAAAAAAAATCCGAAAAAAGAAGTGTTGTGGGGTGAAATAAGCTGAACGACTTTTTTTTATGGCCTCAATTCTTTCTTTGCCAAAATAAAATTAAATGTAAAAACAAATGTAAAACGTTTTTTTTTTTTTTTTTTTTAATTTCGTTTTTTGCCCCCCCCTGGCCACTCATAATGTAGCTTTTAGTAACTAACTGTTGAATTTATTTAAATTAAATGAAATTATTAATGTCAGTTTGTAAGTTGACAAGGATATACTTACCGAGCTTCTGAAGGATGTGCAGGGGGAGGAAGGGGACCTTGCTCCAAAGGTTCCGCGATGGCAGTTCCCAGAGTATCATAGCCTGTGAAAAAGAAAGGGGGAAAAAAAGAGAAAAAAAGAAAAAAAAAGAAAAAAAAAGAAAATAAAGGGGTGGGGGGAGGGGAAAAAGGGAAGAAAAAATTGAAAAAGGAAAAGGGGAAAAAAAAAAAACAGGGAAAAAAACAAAGAAGCAGGGATAAGTTTTGAGGAATCCGCTCAGATAGCAATGTGTGTGTTTCGCTGTTACGTCATCCTTATAGGCTAGGCTACCAGAGTGGGCCGGCCGGGACCATTTGCCCGGCCGGGCCAAAAAAAGTAAAAAAAATGTTTTTTTTTTATTTTTACCTAGGCTACCAGCCGGGCCGCCCGGGTCCCGGGTGGCCAGCCCGTGCAAGGACCAGGGGAGGTCCCAGACCAAAAAAAAAAAAAAAAAATCGAAAAAATCCACAAAAAAACTATGTTATGCAGAAAAATAAACTAAACAACTTTCGCCGCAGGGTCACATCGAAATTCTTCACCAAATTCAAAATAAAAAATAAAATTAAAAAATATTTTTATCTTTATTTTTATTTATTTTTTTATGTTTTTGGCCCGGCCAAAGTGACCCCGGGCCACTCTGGTAGCCTAAATTTTTACTTTATTTTATTTGAAATTTG